GTTCACTTGCTATTGCCACGTTCATGTTCCTGCTGCTGTGTTTCATGTTGCTGCTGCTCGCCTGCACCACCACCACCCCAGCTTCCACCTGTAGGCTCGGGGGATAGTTATCTAATCATCACTCAATGTTCTTTGTAAATCTGTGGAGTGATGAGGCCCGAGCCTAGACGCCAAACTCAAACTATATGCCTGTGTCTGACCCCCATCACCCCAGCCACAAACTGTTCTTTCTGTTGCCGTCTGGCAGACGTTACCGCAGCATCCTGGCAAAGACAAGAAGATTCGGAGACAGTTTCTTCCCGCGGGCAGTGAGACTGTTAAACAATTGAACTGCTGAAACAACTTCAAAACATTCATCTGCTACTTAGTAATATGTATCTAATATATATATCATTCCAATAACTTGTATATAGACTCGTACTGCACTATTCCACATGCTCACTTTATTTTATAACTATTTTTCTTTTTGTATTGCTCTTGCTATCTGTATTGTTATTATGTTGCATTGTTGGAGAAGCCTGTGACATAAGATTTTCAACAACATAATTACTCTGTAACTATGTCAGTTTGACAATAAAGAACCTTGAACCTTGAACCTTGAACTTGTTTTGGGAGTTTTTTTCCAATAATATGTGATTTCTACTGAGGAACGTCTGGTTTATTGTCTTGCGAATTTATGAATGTATTTAGATAAAAATACTTGGATATTGTCAGAGATTAAACTCACAATTTTAGGAGAATGAAACTTATTAACTTATAATATTTGTACAATATTTTTGTATTTAAATCTGTTTTCCTGCTAATTGGGGGTAGGGTAATATTCCTGAAAAAATCGCCTGAATTTTCAAGATTAAGACAGATTTCTTTGTATTTCTTCCAAGGTTAAAGTTGTACATTTACAAGTGAAAAACCTGGATATTGTCGGAGATTAAAGCCACACAATTCAGAATATAAAGTTGAAACCCTTTTATCAAAGTTACAATCTCCCTGACTCTTCACTATACATGTATTTATTTCTCCTGCCACTTTATCCATCAAGTCCTTATTTCAGAATTTTAGCATTTGAAATGTTGTAAATTGCTAGTTTTCAACTTAACTTGTATTTTTCTTCAGAAAATGTAACTTTTCTAGTATTTCTAGAATATTTGCTGAATACTGAACCTGCCCCCAATTATGTATGGACTCTACTTCAAAGACTAAGAAGAAAATTGGATTTCTGTAAAGAATGATTAAACTCATATTTGAGCCTGATTTGTTTTTTCTTCAGGAAAGTATTTTAACTCGGCGTGTGTATGATGGTTTATGGTGACCTTTCTGAGTTATTATTAGACACGGTTAGCAGAGAGCCTCTGACATTTACACTCAGAAACCACTAAATATAATCAATGACCTCCGTGACAAGCAGCGAAATGTTATTATGTTTATTAAATAATAAACTCCCTCAAACTGAGCATGTGATGTGTTCAGGAGCAGATGTCTCGGAGGAATTTAGTTGAATTTGAGGTACTTGCAGGGCCGCCGCTTGCGGACAGGCAAGGCAGGCAACTGCTTGGGGCCCCGGACCAGAAGGGGGCCCACAAAGAAGGTAGATTAAGAAGGTCCACAGCAACGACAACATGAAACACCCTTTAATTTACTGCAACGATATGTCGGGAAACCCCCTCAAGGCGGCCCCATGCATAGCGCGCCGTAAAATGCTGCTTCTTATCTTAAGTTGTGTTGCCTTGCTCTGCTCCGGGAGAATAAAGAATACATATTTATTGCCAGGAATACACAAATTAATGTAATGGAGTTTTGGCGATTAGGCCCCGTTGTGCAGGAGTATCATTCGGGAGGGGAGAACCGATCCAATGAAACCCCCCGGGGTCTAGGTGGTGGTGAATGGATGGTTGGGGTCGGTCTGAAGGGGAGTGGCTTAGCTTGACTCTGGTAGTGGTGAATGGATAGTTGGGGTCGGTCTGAAGGGGAGTGGCTTAGCTTGACCCTGGTGGTGGTGAATGGATAGTTGGGGTCGGTCTGAAGGGGAGTGGCTTAGCTTGACCCTGGTGGTGGTGAATGGATGGTTGGGGTCGGTCTGAAGGGGAGTGGCTTAGCTTGACTCTGGTGGTGGTGAATGGATAGTTGGGGTCGGTCTGAAGGGGAGTGGCTTAGCTTGACTCTGGTGGTGGTGAATGGATAGTTGGGGTCGGTCTGAAGGGGAGTGGCTTAGCTTGACCCTGCTGGTGGTGAATGGATGGTTGGGGTCGGTCTGAAGGGGAGGGGCTTAGCTTGACCCTGGATTCAGAGGGACAGGAGGTGAAAAGGGGTGGAGGAGTGTTGCGTCGAGTCACCTGAAATGACAGCTGTCAGAGGTGGGAGAGCAGAGTTAAAAGGGTTAGCGGAGCGCTATGATAGGCTTGTGAGAATAGAGCGAAGTGATTGGTTAGCTGGGGAGTGACGCCCCCGATCACTTATTGAGAGGAGAGAGAGTAGTAACATAGGAATAGTAAATGAATGAGTAAAGACGGTCTTCCTGGTTGAACTTGCGCTGAGCTTCATTTCACCTGAGTATTTCTTACCATATTATGCTAGTTCATACGTTCACTCCAGTATTAGCTTCTTGGTTTTTATTGATTATGAAAACACACATAATAATACATTTTTTGGATATCTTTTTTTAATCTTGTCAAAATCAATTTTGGTCGTCTTTTTTATTCTGTGTGTTACAAATGATTTATTATTCATATTATCGTCATCAACATCATGATTTTTATTATTATATTTAATAACATTTTTAAATTGTATTTATTATATTATTTAATATTTTCTTTGGGATTTTTATATTCTATTTATTTAATTCATTTATTATAATTTTTACCCTGACATTGTTGTACTTTTACTAGTAGAAATACCCACTTTATTACATGGCTTAGTTGAATACTCGATTCTGATTGGTCAATTCAGAACACGTGACACGTTGTTAATCCAGTACAGACAGACCGCTGTCAAGGATTTATTTACCGTTGTTAAGGACGCTCACATCTGCAGAAAGAAGTTCGGTCGATGTAACTGCATACAGTTTGGCCGAAAAGCAAACTGCCTGCTTGTCAAACTGGGACAAGAAAACAGCGGAGAAGTAACGGGGCAGAAACCCTCCTTTTTACGCAACGGTCCAGACATAGACATCAAACGGCAAAACATATTCAGTTGCCAGTTACTTTGGCATTAGGGCAGGGATATCTAGATACTTTCCAAGGTTTGACATAATTAATTGTGCTACTTTTAAAGCAAGCAACGATGTTTTCAAATCTGTAATCAAAAAGGTCCGCAAAAACGCTATCGAAGCAGTTCCTACTGTTGCTACGTTAGTTCAAACAGTAACAACGGACTATTTTTCTTAGCGGATGCATGTCATTTTAAATGACTGTCGGGTGTTCTTTTCCCCATAATGACCGCCTCGCTGCACATTATCCCTTACTTAATCACTTCATCTCCAGCTATGAAACAATGAAGCATGGTAATAATTAATGACCTTGCAGCAGTATGCACACCCTCCTCCTCCTCACCCCTATAAATTCCTCTCTTCCTCCCTCCCTTTTCTCCCTCATGCCTTAACTTGCCCCCCTTCCTCCCTCCCTTTTCTCACAACCAACAACATTCCTTCATCCTGAAACTCCTTCTTCCTCCCTCTGCAACAAAAGCGGGAAAGAGGGAGGAGATGGGGAACGCTCTCCGGCTGTTTGTTTACATGTGAAACAGAGACGCTGTGGTTGTGATTTGGCTCGTCTGTTGCCATGGCAGCGGGCGGGGAATCGTTGTAAATAATGTGAAATGTTTTGGGAGTTCCCCCCCCCTCACCCTCACACGTCAGTGAGTCACTCACTACTCACCAGCTGAGGGAAGTACAGCTACTCAAGGCTGGTGTTCATGTTTTATTTTTATTAATCATTATACACATTATTTATTGTGTGAAATGGAGCTATTTATTTATTTATTTCTGCCTTTTATTTATTGAATTTTTAATTAGTAGTTCGTGACAAACTCTGAACCTTGTTTTCTACCTTTTATCAATTAATTTGCATTGTATTTAATTTCTTTCATTCATTTATGACCATTTATTTTTGTAATTTCTTTAGGTATTTATATATGTTATTTTTTGTTCATTGATTTTAGACACATGGAACATGTTTTTCTGCCTTTGTATTATTTTATTAATTTATTTTTTACTTTACAGATTGATTTCAAAATGTTAAAAATACTTTGAATAAACATTGACATATAATGAAAGGCTAAGATATACAGCAGCCGTAAAAAACGTAATTAAAGTTAGCTGCACCTTTACCAGCTGTGATCAGCACATTAATGCATCAGTTATTTAATATATATAATACTTTTAATTTTGGTACTTTAACAATATTTTACTAAAGGAAGATTTGGAAAGCAGGACTTTTTCTTGAGTATTTTTTATATATTTTGATGCAAATACTTGTTTTACTTTGACTTAATAAGGTTTTAAATGTTGGACTTTTACTTCTATCAGAGTATGTTTACGCTGTAGTATTACTATGCACTTAAGTAAAGTACTTCATCCACCTCTGAAAGTTTTAAATGACTTGTACTTTACTCAAGTATTTCCATGTATCTACTTCTTCTAAAAAGAGAAATAATCAAATGTATTTTACAGCTTTAGTTCACTTCAACTTTTGATACTTCAAGTATATTTTGAATGCCACATAATTGAAGTAAAGCAGGACATTTTGAATTGTATCAGAGTACTTCTACAATATAGTATCACTGCTTTGACTTCAGTAAACAATCTAGTCTCACCACTGCATGAGACACCAAACCCAAAAGGAAAACATTTACATTTCCTGCCCACAGAAGTAGTGGAAATAGTGGCTGGAGTTTCCTTTTTTCTTACAGAAGTAGTGTCGGAGGAGCAGGGATTATGTGTAAAGCAGCCAGAGGCTTGTCTGGGGTGTGGACTTAAAAAGAGGGCTGGGTCAAAAAGTGGGCGGAAGGGTAGCTACTAGTTGTTGTGCATTTAGAGTGCGAGTCTGAAATCAGTATCCCTGAGAGCAGGAGGAATTAGACGGAGACACACAGGCAGCAAACAGTAAGTCAAAACTCTTATGTATACCTCTATAGGACTCATTCATATATTTCCACTGTTTAAAATAGAGGCTTTTAACAGGATTATGCAGGTTTTCAGTTTTATTGAATGAATGCAGGTGTGTGTGTGTGTGTGTGTGTGTGTGTGTGTGTGTGTGTGTGTGTGTGTGTGTGTGTGTGTGTGTGTGTGTGTGTGTGTGTGTGTACCTTAAAATACCTGTTCACCTTCACAGGCTTCACAGTAACTCCTTTCCTGTCCTGGTGTCCAAAAAGGCTTCTTTCCACATTTTTAACGATAGACATTTTTTGCTGCATGCTTTTAGCAAACCTCAGCCACATGACTCCCATTTTTTCTGCCTGGTGGAAAATACGCCACAGCCAGGCCAGATCTAAAAAAAAAAAAAGAGTCTTGTTTTCAAGAAGCAAGAATTTGGAGGTATTCCACAAGTGTGTTTTATATTAAAGCAACTGCTGACTGTTGAACTAACTTCACTGAAGTTGCTCATACAGTTTGAGCATTTGACAGAAGGTAGAAATAATAAGAAAATGTTCAAAAACTATTTTTGGTAATCAGGTAAAAGGCGGGGGATGTTTGTAAAGATGCAGCAGGCGTGACATATCGTGCAGCCGACCGGTTGCTCATTGCATGTGTGTGGTTGCGTGAGAATGATCTGTGTGTGTCTATGTCTATGTGTGTGTGTGTGTGTGTGTGTGTGTGTGTGTGTGTGTGTGTGTGTGTGTGTGTGTGTGTGTGTGTGTGTGTGTGTGTGTGTGTGTGTGTGTGTGTGTGTGTGTGTGTGTGTGTGTGTGTGTGTGTGTGTGTGTGTGTGTGTGTGTGTGTGTGTGGACCCAGCCCTTGACCACTCCTTTACCCGTTGTCGAGAAACAGCTCATTGCAGATGTGCCTCTCTTCCTCCGTTCACACACCCATTGCGGATTATTTAGCTAAACACAAAGTGGGTCAAAAGCCAGAAGAGCCACCAGTGACGAGGCCTCAGGTGAGAGAGAGCGGAGGTTACGGTGTGTCGTAATTCAAACCCTGGGAAGCGGGCGTGAGCTTAACGTTAGAATGGCAGGTTTTCTTGACAGTTATTTTAAGGAGTGGAGACAAGCCTGAACTCATCTACCCCGCCACATACTTCCCTCCTTGACACCTTCTGTCACCCGCCAAACCGTATCTTCGATTTCCTTCCACAAATGTACATCAACACCTCTCGATAAGAGCGTTTCTCGCCGTCTATTTGCAGGAATTTCACTGTGAGAGCTGTAACTCAGATTAATTAGAAGTTGTGAAGCCACACCCTGAGTGGATGCCAGGTTTTCGCCTTACTTTGAGTGTGTTTATGAAGATCTGTGTGCGTGCTTCGAGCTGGGGTGTTAAACCACACAGGAAGTGCCTTTGTTATTGGCCAAATTAGACTCTTTCTGCTCACTGTAGCTGCCAATCTGCTCTGTGTGTGTGAGTGTGTGTTTTATTAGCGAACAAGCCCTGCAGTTATCCTGCATAACAAAGTGGAAAAGTGGTGTGACAAGTTTCCTCTTGTGCTTCTCTTTTTCTTTCTCCAGCAACCTTCGTCATCATGTTGATCCTTCTCGCTGGTATCTTTGGCATTCACATCATAGGCATCATCATCCTCCTGGTGGCCACCATTGACAATGTAAGTACATTTTGTTGTGTACATTTTAAGTGCTGGAAGTTTAATTCAACACACCTGGACCACACCTTCTACCTCAGTTCTTGACGAGCCCTACATAAGCCCTGACTTCCTCCCTAGTTTGAGTGTTAAAAACACAGAGCACTCGATGCTGACAGACAGCAGAAAGTCTTAGGAGGGATTTCTGCACTCTATCAACGAGCCTCTGTTCTCCTCAGGGCCGCATTTTTGACATTTCTTGGTGACAGATGGGGCCGATGTAGTGTTGTCACCTGATGTCACTGAGTGCATTTTAGCCCTAGGCACAGTGTTGTTAAGAAAGTGAACAAACACATGTAAATATGTCAGATTCTTGCCTGTGATGTAGTGAATATTGCACATCCTGAGTGAGAAACAGGGAATGTGACAGTGACAGGCGGATGTGCATTCCTACCTTTGATAATAGTCGCTCTTGCTTGCAGCTTTTTAAATACATGCCATAACTGAGCGGGAACATCCGGGTCTGAAAAAGTAAAAACATTGTACCTTGAGTGGACTCTCCATTGGTTTCAAATAGAAGTCAACTTGTGTAGGAGTCGATGAAAACATTTACCCTACTTCTCACTTGATTCAACACCTCAGTAAACATTTTCCAAACTGGTCTCAATTGCTAGTTTAAAGTCTTGAGTTATCAACTGGTTGCAAAAACTAAGTCAAATTGTGTAGAAATCTATGAGAAAAAAAAGCTTGATCTCACTTGATTTATAACTTCAGTAATTATTTTCATGGTCTCAATCGCTAGTTTCAAGTCTTCTCCAATACAGCATGATGTTGTTTTTGTAAATTATGGACCAATTTAGGACCATAAAGGATCTCCTTTCTTTATCATGAGGTATCCATTAAGGCGTGGCTACTTTATCATTAACAAGTTGCTATCACAAATGTTGTCCGGTTTGGGTGTTGTCTGTGATTGCTCCTTTTCAAAGTGTTTTCCAGTTAATTGTAATAATTTGGTTGCCTTAAAATATCTCAGTGTTCTCCTTAAGATCCATCCTCTTGTTTTAACTCTGGTTTCAATAAAACATAATGGCTACAACCAAAAACCAACATGGCAACAACCAAATATCAAGATGGCGGCAGTCAAAACACGTCATGTCTAAATTTGAAACCCTAGATTTGCGAAACTTGGCGAAAACACTTGTCCGATGACTTGGGGAAACCTTAACAATGCCTAACGTTAACTGTCTGTAAACCCTAACCCTAAATACGAGCACCAAAATGCAAAACTTGAGCATTTTGCGACTTTGGCCATTCTTTATATACAGTATAGTCAGAACACAGGTTGAACACACACTATGTTTACACACCCTCCTGCTTTGAATTATCCCTCCAGCATTAATTCATTAACCTTTATTCAGCTCATAGGATGGTTTTTCATACTTGTGCAACCGCTGCAACAAAGTCGGACCATGATTTTTAAAGTAACATCTCGTTTCTTCTCTGTTTTAGGCTTGGTGGATGACTGACGTAATATCCACTGATGTGTGGGCTCGGTGGATTCAGACGAGCGGGGTGTGGAACCTCACAGATCTTCCCACAGGTTCACACTACCCACAGGGTAAGTCAAACACACCGCCTTTAAAGAGGAGAACTTGTTTCCATGCGTACTACACTTTGACAAAGTCATATTTACTTCATTAAAAACAAAGTTTGCCCTCAAGGTTTCATTGATTTTTTTTGCCAGTTTTGTTCAACTTGTTCTGACATAACCTTGTTTTGTCAAAGATACTGAAAAACTGGCTTCAAATCCACAGTATTTCTCTTAAACATTGAGTCATGCCTAAAATACACCAATCAAAGTAATCTTTAAGCATCTTTTTAAAAGTTTAACACGGAAAAACTCTGCTTCGCCGAGGCCTCTCTGGTTGTTGTTTTATTGGATTTTGAGAAATACTGTTGCTACGTCCCGATTGGTGCACGGAGGCATCCATTTCTTAAAATTAAATTAAAAACATTCAAGTGATGTTATCTTACTTTATCCAGCCCTTTATGTGGCATCTTTCCAGAACATGGCATGCGAATGATTTGAAAAAACACAATGGGTTTTCAGTTATCTAAATAATTAATTTTGCATTGCAAATCAAGACCAGTATAGCTCAAAATGACGCTGCCATAATGCAAAGATGTCAAATGTCGTAGCAGAACTCAATGAAATGACTTCATCTTGAACCTAATGTAAAGTGATGTTAACTTTTGGACCTTCAAAATACTCAGCATGTTTCAAAATCCTGAAATATTTATGGTGTTTGAACGCCACATTCCTGCCATTCTGACCAGATGTGACCAGAACACGATGTCACTGCAGAGTAACAGTTTCCAGGGTGTGTCAGTGTGATGTTTAGCACATATTTCAGTGACACTCCCCCCTCTCACACACACACATTTTCACTCATATTCTCCCTCTCTGTCGCCCCCTGCAGATTACCTCCAGGCGGTGCAGGCCAGCTCGGTTCTCGCCTGTATTTTCTCCATCATTGGAATCTTTGTGTTTGTGGCTCAGCTGTTCACTCTGGAGAAAGGACAGAGGTTCACCATCTCCGGCGCCTTCCAGCTCCTCGCCTGTGAGTATCTCTGTAACTCTGTGGGGGAAAAGTACATTTACTCAAATTAGGGCTGTGCAATTAATCGTATTTTAATCGCAATTACGATTTTGGCCTGCCACAATTACGAAAACAACATAATCGAAAAAAACGATTATTTTGCTTTGCTAGGTTGTGACAGTGCACTGCAACACATTTGATCAAATGTATTTGTATTTATCATATTTATATATGTTTAGTAGCTTGTTGAAGTGCGCTCCAAAATATTTGTTGATCTTGTTTATTGGTATTTATTATTTTGATATTATTTATTTAAATGTAGATATAAATGTGGCATTTATTTTATTTATTTTTGTATTGGTTTTTCAGTTGAATTATACGCTCAGGGAAATCAACAGTTAAAAAGATACTGTTCAAATTATTATTTGTATTTTAAAGTTCAATAAATGGATGTTTTCAAACATGAATAATCGTATTTAATAATCGTGATATCAATTATTGACCAAAATAATCGTGATTATGATTTTTGCCATAATCGCACAGCCCTAACTCAAATACTGAAATCAAGTACAACTTTAAGGTCCCTGTACTTGAGTAGTTACATTTAATGCTACTTTATACTTCATTGAATTGTACCTTTCCATTAACAACTTCACAGTTTAACAGGAATCATGCATAATAATACAAAATACACAAGTGTGTGTGTTGTTAGATTTGTACACTCCCCCCTGTAAAACCAAAACATATCACATAAGCAAATCATAAATAAATAAAATAAAGGTACTATTTTACTCCACTGTATTTATTTTATAGCTTTAGTTCAGATTAAGATGTTACAAGTGATAAACTAAAACATCTCTAAAAATGAATCTAACTGTTGCAAGAATTCAAAATATATAAAAAAAACGTAAGAAAGAAAGTCGTAATCATGGATAAATTGTGTATCAGGTCTCTATCAGGTTAATAAGATAATAAGAAGTACTTTATTGATCCAAATTTGGGAAATGTTTGTGTTGCAGCAGCATAAAAAGAAATGGCATTGTACAATACAAATAAAAAGACTGGAAATAAACAAGAAAGTAGAAAAATATACATGTGGAAATGACAAATGAACAAAAACAAAATAATGCAAGTTATTATATATACATAAGTATGTGAGGCTGTGGCGCAGTGGACTAGTGTGGTTCAAACCCCACTGCAGTCAGCATGTCGTTGTGTCCCTGGGCAAGACACTTCACCCCAAATTGCTCCTGTGGGGAGTATGTTAGTCGCTTTGGATAAAAGCGTCTAACAAGTAACATGTAATGTGAGGGAAGGAATATTGAATATGAAACTGAATATCTAAATGTAACATGTACAGTGTGATTTTAAGTCCAAGAGAAGCTATGGAGCAATTAATAGTGTGCAAAACAGTTGTAGTTTACTAGTTTTTAGTATTCGTTTCTTGACTTAATTCAGCGATCTGAGTACCTCTTCACTCCTCCTCACTCACCTCCTCGTCTCCTTTCCTTGCAGGTCTTTGCATCATGATCGCAGCCGCCATCTACACCGATCGTTTCCACCTGGACGAGCAGAACGGCTGGTACGGTCACTGCTTCATCTTGGCGTGGATCGCCTTCGCCCTCACCTTCATCTCCTCCATCATTTACTTCGTGTTACGCAAGAAGACGGCGTGAGAAGGACACTAGAAGCTTTTCCCTGACCGACCCCCAAAAAACCCTCAGCTGGACATACCCTTGCTGCTGAAATCTGATTTATTTTTTGTCACAGATGATGTAATATTTGACATCAGATTCAAGCTGCTAGTGTATATTTAGCTCAAGATAAACCTGTTAATTCTCTCAAATACTATCATTGTTTAATTGAGTTTGCTGTCAGGTGTTTTCGTAGTAAAAGGCAAACTCAGGTAAATAACGGCTGTATTTGAGACCGTTTTCTACCCAGATTTCGGGCTGGATTTCTACAGATTAAGACTTTTCTTGTTGTTAACTGAATGTGCCTTAGGATATAAGACGCCATGATAAATGAAGATCTATCATTATTTCTAGCAGGTTGAATAATAAAATCTGTGGTATTTTTTGTTTGTTTTGTAAATTTATATTAGATAAAAAGGGGCGAGTTTATTCTTAGTTTTTTTTGTTATTTTATTTTTCTATTTTATTTTCTGCTCTGGTCTTACTTTATATAATGTGCCACGAGGTAAACAGAGTGTCCAAATGTGGTAAAAAAATCCATTCCTCTGTGGCAGATGTATTTGTAATCTAATGATAAGACTGTATGATTATATATAAGATCAAATCTGTAATTATTTGGGATTACAAAGACACAAAACTGGTTTAAAAATGCAAGTGTAATGCCAAAATCAAATATTAACTCTTACACTACATTATTGTATTCACAGTTAGTTTAAAAAGAAAAAGGAGTTTCTCAATTTCCACTAACCTAGTATGTATGAAACTTGCCATTTTCCATAAATCCACAAATTAAAAATATTTTCTGACTGTTAATCCAACCATTTGGGGTAATATCTGCTCTGTTTTCCCCAAATGCAACTGCCTTAAAGCGTGAGATATGATGTGTAAATATGTTTCCCATAATGCTCTGTATGTCTAAGGCTGTTTTATTTTTGCTACTGTTATTTTTCATCATCGATGACAATAACAATGATTTTTACACTATTAAACTTGATTTCCGACCAATTATTTATATTTTTCTTTCCCCCATTAGTCATCATAAGGAGTAAAAAGTAGTTGATTAAGTGTTCAATTCTGTTAAAGGTGGGGTAGGTAATTTTGGAGAAACCAGCTTGAGTGTGCTAGAATTTGAAAATACACAGCCGGAAGAAATCTGCCACTTCCTTACAGAGCCCCTCCTCCAACACACACGAATGCGCACATGACCAATGAGGGCACGAGATAAGTTTGTGCACAGATGGAAGGCTGACAGGCAGGTAGGCCATCCAGTTATTTTAGCCGGGCCGGCTAAAATGATTGGTCGTACTTTTTACAGTACTACGGCTTCCACAGATGACATTTTTTTATGGATTTTTTGTCAAAGCACTTCAGATATTCATTGCTATCGGGATGTTAAGAGCATTCCATGGAATATAACAAAAAGTGTATCTCGAGCCGGTTTCTCAAACTTACCTACCCCACCTTTAAATGATTGTCAGAATAATTGTTTTGAAATTGCAGACAAAAAGCAGTTTGATGACCACATTTATTAACAATTTGTGAATTGCCAAAACAAGATTCACACTGTTAAAAACTTTGAATTGCAAATAGTAAGAGAGTAAGAGACTTTTTAAAATAATACAGTAAAAGTATATTCAGTTTACAAAACAATGGTGTATTTAAACTTTCTGTTGTTGACTGCTCACCAAGTATATTTAGACTTTAGTGAACATTAAATAGAGTGGTGCAGGAATGAGTCCTAAAACCTGGAAATTAATTTGCATTCAAAAGTATTTTTGGGCACCACATGATGTCACAGAGAAACACTGAAGTTGTAGTACCACCAATTGGCCACCACGGAAATGTGCTTTAACTTCTGGTTTACTTTCTGCAAGCCTGGATCATCCCCAACATTAGCCACCTTTAGCTTAGCGGTGGTGACGTGAAGTCATGTGACCTTGATGTAGTTCCTTTATAGCCCAACATTAGCCACCTTTAGCTTAGCGGTGGTGACGTGAAGTCATGTGACCTTGATGTAGTTCCTTTATAGCGTAACATTAGCCACCTTTAGCTTAGCGGTGGTGACGTGAAGTCATGTGACCTTGATGTAGTTCCTTTATAGGCCAACATTAGCCACCTTTAGCTTAGCGGTGGTGACGTGAAGTCATGTGACCTTGATGTAGTTCCTTTATAGCCCAACATTAGCCACCTTTAGCTTAGCGGTGGTGACGTGAAGTCATGTGACCTTGATGTAGTTCCTTTATAGCCCAACATTAGCCACCTTTAGCTTAGCGGTGGTGGTGTGAAGTCATGTGACCTTGATGTAGTTCCTTTATAGCGCAACATTAGCCACCTTTAGCTTAGCGGTGGTGACGAGAAGTCATGTGACCTTGATGTAGTTCCTTTATAGCCCAACATTAGCCACTTTTAGCTTAGCGGTGGTGACGTGAAGTTATGTGACCTTGATGTAGTTCCTTTATAGCCCAACATTAGCCACCTTTAGCTTAGCGGTGGTGGTGTGAAGTCATGTGACCTTGATGTAGTTTCTTTATAGCGCAACATTAGCCACCTTTAGCTTAGCGGTGGTGACGAGAAGTCATGTGACCTTGATGTAGTTCCTTTATAGCCCAACATTAGCCACCTTTAGCTTAGCGGTGGTGACGTGAAGTCATGTGACCTTGATGTAGTTCCTTTATAGCCCAACATTAGCCACCTTTAGCTTAGCGGTGGTGACGTGAAGTCATGTGACCTTGATGTAGTTCCTTTATAGCCCAACATTAGCCACCTTTAGCTTAGCGGTGGTGGTGTGAAGTCATGTGACCTTGATGTAGTTCCTTTATAGCGCAACATTAGCCCCCTTTAGCTTAGCGGTGGTGACGTGAAGTCATGTGACCTTGATGTAGTTCCTTTATAGCCCAACATTAGCCACCTTTAGCTTAGCGGTGGTGACGTGAAGTCATGTGACCTTGATGTAGTTCCTTTATAGCCCAACATTAGCCACCTTTAGCTTAGCGGTGGTGGTGTGAAGTCATGTGACCTTGATGTAGTTCCTTTATAGCGCAACATTAGCCCCCTTTAGCTTAGCGGTGGTGACGTGAAGTCATGTGACCTTGATGTAGTTCCTTTATAGCGCAACATTAGCCACCTTTAGCTTAGCGGAGGTGACGTGAAGTCATGTGACCTTGATGTAGTTCCTTTATAGCCCAACATTAGCCACCTTTAGCTTAGCGGTGGTGGTGTGAAGTCATGTGACCTTGATGTAGTTCCTTTATAGCCCAACATTAGCCACCTTTAGCTTAGCGGTGGTGACGTGAAGTTATGTGACCTTGATGTAGTTCCTTTATAGCCCAACATTAGCCACCTTTAGCTTAGCGGTGGTGGTGTGAAGTCATGTGACCTTGATGTAGTTCCTTTATAGCGCAACATTAGCCACCTTTAGCTTAGCGGTGGTGACGTGAAGTCATGTGACCTTGATGTAGTTCCTTTATAGCACAACATTAGCCACCTTTAGCTTAGCGGTGGTGACGTGAAGTCATGTGACCTTGATGTAGTTCCTTTATAGCGCAACATTAGCCACCTTTAGCTTAGCGGTGGTGACGTGAAGTCATGTGACCTTGATGTAGTTCCTTTATAGCGCAACATTAGCCACCTTTAGCTTAGCGGTGGTGACGAGAAGTCATGTGACCTTGATGTAGTTCCTTTATAGCCCAACATTAGCCACCTTTAGCTTAGCGGTGGTGACGTGAAGTCATGTGACATTGATGTAGTTTCTTTATAGCGTGTGGTGTTAATATGTGGAAATTATCCTGTGGTACGAACGTGTAAGTATGATAAACATTTGTTTGCCATCAGAGCTTATTTTCTGCAATATTCCGAAAATCCAATGGAAAATCCCATTAGCTTTTTGTCAAGGGAACCAGGGAGATGCTGTTGAAATAATCTATATTTTATGATCATGTGTTGTAAGTCATGCTAGTTAGTTTCATCCTTTAGTTTATCTAAAGAGACCTGAATGTGCACATGTCTGTTTGCAGCGTGTTATTGAGCATAGGATCTTGTAACATGTGATTGGAAAAGGTCCAAAGGTATAGTGCTGTGTAAACTAAAAAGAAGTGTATAAAACCTGTGAGATTCTGTTATTCTTTAGACAGACACATATACTCTTGGCGGACTTGACGCAATTATTCTGGCTCTTATACTGCTGTACAACAATATAATAATTCCTTCAATCAGCAGTATGTCTGTGTTTCTATTTTTTATATATTTGGTTATGTCTTGAGTGTCCACGAAATTGCTAACTTAAATCATCGCTGCACCACCCTATAGTCATAAGTCCTGCTATCAAAGAAAGACTCCAGTCTGAATAAAAGCAGTATAGTTCACAGTGGGCTGTAGTCCTCTCCCGGATCGTAGCAGCTCTCCTGATGTCCCGGCAGGGGGAGGCGGGGGGAGACGGAGGGTGGGTATGATGGCTTTTGAGAGGGTAACGAGAGGCGATGGATGGAGGAAGCAGATGCGAGATGGGAGGGTGGAGGAGGGAAGGAGTTGGAGTGAGGAAGAGGAGGCAGGGAGTCGGAGTGCCTTTGACTGGCGGACGGGGTTTTGTAGTAGGGAGACAGGTGGGAGATCCGGGGGGGAGACGGGGGAGAGGTGAGGGCGGGGTTCACAGGGGTGTAGTAAGGAGGCAGCACACCCACGAAGTTGAAGCTGCAGGCGTTGAGGCTGGAGGTCCGTCGCGGGCCGACCATCATGACGGTCTTGGTGTAGTTGTTGAGGGTAGAGACTCCGGCTGACATGCAGAGAGTGAAGGCACACCAGGCCATGCTGACGGAGACACAGACCAGAGGGGTTTCACTGGGACGTTACTTTGTAGAAGGGGAGTGACTGGGTGTATACTGGGGCCAGTCAGAGTTCGACTTAAAGGTCCCCTATTATACTGTTTTCATAGTAATCCCCTCTGTTTCAGCCCTGTTTCAAAAGTGCTGATTCTCTGTCTGTTACTTTAGATGAAAATAAGGAGCCACTCCCCACGCCCCTCTGAGAGATATTTGGTTAGAAAGAACACAATGGTGCTCTAGGAGGAGATTCAGGTGATAGGGTGGGGGGGGGTTACCTTGGTTGGTGATTGGCTAATGGTTACACAAGACAAAACATCGTTATGACATCATAAAGTGGCCAAAATCTGATCAGCTAATTTTCAGACAGGTTTTTATATAAATGGATCAGGACAAAAAGAGAGAGAATCTTTTTTCCTGAAACTTTCAGAGTCTCTTTACACAGAGGGGACACATGTTGATGAAGAAGAGACATGAAGAAGAGGGGACACATGTTGATGTAGAAGAGACATGAAGAAGAGGGGACACATGTTGATGTAGAAGAGACATGAAGAAGAGGGGACACATGTTGATGTAGAAGAGACATGAAGAAGAGGGGACACATGTTGATGTAGAAGAGACATGAAGAAGAGGAGACACATGTTGATGTAGAAGAGACATGAAGAAGAGGGGACACATGTTGATGTAGAAGAGACATGAAGAAGAGGGGACACATGTTGATGTAGAAGAGACATGAACAAGTGGATTTTGTATAATAGGTGACCTTTAAGGAAAACGACTTGGAAAACTAGCATGATTTCCTCTTTTCAAAAAAGCAAGACCACCTCTCAGAGCAGAAGAGAGGCTCTCAATTCTCTTATATTCAATGATATGATACATTTCATACACTGTATGAGGGCCATCGCAGGAAAAATCATTGTGAAAAATACCATTTCTTATTAGCTTATCTAAACTAATAAACAGGTATTTACCCCACGGCTCCAGCAGGCTTTATTTCTATTTAGAAAACAAGTAGTTTGTTGTTTTACAGGATATACCTACATAACTAGTCTTTCTTGCAAAGCCTGAGACTCTTTTCCATTCAAAATGTTACTTGAAGGAAATGGACCATGCAGACTCTGTTCGAACACGTTTAAACCATAGACTGTATATATAAAGGTTTAAACACAAAGAGGAAAAGCTTCCCGAAAAG